CATTAGTCTATTTGTGATATGCTTTCTTCCCAGCCCTCCTGAGTTCAGTTTAACACAGTGAAGCCGATCATATACAAGGGGTTTTTTAACGTGATCACTAAGGATTTCAAAGTAAAACATATTTTTAACCCATACACTTAAACTAGAGAACACTGGCCAAATGACTTGTATGTGATCCTTTCAAGGGACTCGAGTTGCTGGATGATGCTGGCATCACCCCTGTGAAATCACAGTTTCTACTGCCACAAGCGTGATTTCACATTACCACGGCACCAATCCCTTCTTCAAAAACACTGATAATGATGTGCATGCTGACATCGTTCACTGAAGGAAACCCATTAACTCACCTTACGAGAAATTAGGTTGGACCCTGTAAAACATTTCACTACATAAAGTTATTAAAACATATGTTTAACTAAGTGTGGTCTGATGCAGTTTTAAATGGTGATGCATAAATACATTCTTTCGAGTGAAGGAAGTCCTGCAACAACTGCAAAATTCATTTGCAAAAACTCATGGGTAAATGCTTCTTCAAGAATTTGAGTAAATGAGAATGCATCACATCTAGAAAAACCCAAAAGAATGCCTAATGCTTCTAAACTAAGAGCTTAGTAATTCACAGTTTTCAGCACAATTCAAAAGGTCAAATATCTCTTTTTCTAAATACCAAGTCAGAGAGAGAGAGAGAGATGGGGCTTTGCGACCAAGGCAGCCTGGCTCCCCGCAGCAGCGTCTGAGCTTGTGTCTGCCGAGACCACCTTGTGTGACAGTGGGCAGGGAGGCAGGCCTGTGTCACTGCAGGTGGCTTCTGGCTGCATGTACTTCTTTTTTTGGAGACCTAGCATGTGACATCTCTGATCACAGGAGTGCTTCTTGTGCTTCCACTTGCAACCGGCTCAGTTGGGAGAATTTATGAGGACACTATGTACCTGCAATGAAAAAAAAAAAAAAAGATAACATACCAGGTAGGTTTTACACATATCAAAATTTGTCTCTGAAATCACCCTATACACACACTGTAAATGGGAAAATGAACGCCGTTTTGTTTGCTTAGTATGGAAAGCCCCAGAAAACCCCGTGCATCATGTACCTAAGTAAGTAACCTGACTGAAATTGAGTTATAGGTGGAATATGAAATGCTGGAAAGATCTACAAAACCATGCTTTTAATCTGCAAAGTGTTATCAACTGTCTAGGATGGGAATAATGTGATGCAGAGTCATCTTTTGTTTGCTCAAATTTACAAGAGACCATTGAATGGAGAGCAACACTTGTTTGTCAGTAAAAGCCTGGGTGCCCTGTCTTGCCTCACTTTGGGGAAACAAGGAACAGCAGAGGTCACTTGTCATGTCCAATCTTATGTTCCAGGGACCTGCCTCAAAGGTTTTGGTCTAGAAAGTTCTTAGATAACATGATTTGGTTGTGTAGGAGATGCACTGATTTCACCGAGTGCAAATATCTTCCTTATACAGGACAGTGAATCATGGCTGCAGCCTCTCCTAAACAGACCAGCTGAGGGTTTGTTGAACCTGTAAAACAGCTTGCTTGGAGAGAAGCAGGTTAATGTTCTCCTTTTATCTGGGGAGGGGAAAATAGGTATATTACAAGTCCGATTTAGTGCAGGTTTCACTGAGAAAAATGGAAACTTCTTGATCAGTCTCAGCAGAGGGTGTTACCCAAACTTTTGTTCTACATCTGCAAAATCTTTCCAGCACCTGATCAGCACATGAAGCTGAGTACTTCTCTGCCATTAATACATGCGCTAAATGAGGACCTTAAGAAATCATTCCCAAATTGTTCTTAAAATTAAACAACCTGAAGTTAAAGAGATACAAGAAATGCCCGTGGTTTTCATTTTCCCACTTGCTCTAAACCAAAACCAAAAAAGTGTTGCACTTGCAAGTTCTCTTGGCAATCATGAAAGCAATGTATTTGTAAGGAAACCAGAGATTCTTAGCTTTATAATGATATGAGCTGGAGGGAAATCACAAGTTATCTCACCATGCATGCTGGTATTGCAAGAACTGACCACATCATCTCTGTTTTGGTTCAAAGTAAATTAACTGTGAACGGCACTGAGGAAGGATGCAAATAGGGAACTGATTTGGCAGAAATCTGGCAAGATGATCTGTAAAGTTCACACTGTTCTTTTGCTTCTGTTCCCACCGTTGGGGCAAAAATGCCATTGTTGTCAGTGACGCTTACTTAATAAATGGCATGTGGCAGAAAAATAACAGTGTGTGCAGCCACCCATATTCTGGTCTGGAGATTTATCTGCCTGGAGACTCTCAGGGCAGTGAAACTGCTTGTGTGAAGTGGGTAGGTTAAGTTGTACTTATTACTTTGCTTCTAGGGAGAATTAAGCCAAGTCTAATTAAAGTCACTCAAATCCAGAACGTGTGTGCTTGGGTTCATGAAGGAGAGACCAAAGGACTGGAAGATCGGTTGCATCAGAGGCTTTGCCCATGGGGATGTCTTTACCCTACTGCAGTTAACATATCTCTCCCAAAGCTGAATTGCCTTAAATTATGCCAAGGGCCAAACTACCCATTTGCCAGCTGGGAGTAATTTGTGCTTGAGCGCCAGAGGCTACACCTGTGATTTCACACCTACACTTTCCTTAGCAGGTCCCCCACATCTGTTTTCCTACCTGGGGGTCCAGGAGGCAAGAGATCACACACTGTACAGCAGTATCACCACATAGAAACCTACACCTGTTTCAGGAAGAGCTTCAGGATGACAACTAATTATTAAAGGCATGCAAACACCTTCAATGGGGATTTTGCAGTTGAGTGTGGAGCACCCTGGGCTCCCTCTGCTTGGAAATGGATGCCACACTGCAGCACGGTGCCAAGTGACAACTGACCCAAAACCAAAACCTAGGCCAAATCATTGTTTTTTCCATAATTGGAACTGAGACTGGACTGCAATTTGGAAATTTTCTTGAAGTGTGAGTCAAATAGCATTGGTCACAGCTGAACATCATCCACCATTTAAGTAAAACCCCATGGTGCTCAGACTTCCTGCAGAGAGGGGAATTTAAATCACTGTAATTTGCATGCCAGCTTGCTAGGAAGAAGACACAAGATGTGCAAGTTCATATATTTATTAACCACTTCTCATTGCCTTCGTCTTCAAAATCTTTCCTGCCACACTATTCTAGATGGTTGTCACGTAAGATGTGCCACCAGCAGGGACTTTATGTGACTGCCTGAGGTCCTGCCCTGAGTCTCCCCAGTTTCTGTGGAAGGAATAGCCTGACCTTTCCTGTTGAAGGTGGTGTACTTTAATTTTGCTCCATTTTGCCCCTGCTTGCTTGAAGCCTTGGTAGGCAGCCATGGGGAACTGTGCCTGTGGGCCAGCTTGGAGCAGACAGGACTAGACCTGGCTCTTCAGCCCTGTCTCATCCTCCCCAGGGAACTCCCCAGAGTGACCCAGTTCTTGTTTGGGGATATTTTTTGTGTGGTTTCTGAAGGACACAGCCATGCTGGAAGCAGCCTCTGATTTGCCCTGTGCTAGATGATGCACATGAGCAGAAAAATGATGGTATGAGAGGTCTTTCCTTTGCTATTGAAAGAGCTTACCAAGAAAAAAAAAAACAAAACAAAAAAAAACCAAAAAAAATAGAAGATTGCCATCTGTGTTCAAGCCACCTAAATCATGCAAACCACAGAGAAAACAGCCTGTGACAGGTCTAATTAGGTTGGGGTCCTGGGAGCACACACCCACCTCAGCCTACAAAAGCCCAAAAGTTAATTGTGGGTGCAAAGAGCAAACACCGTGTACAGCTGTGTGACTTCTGGGTGCAACGTCCGGGCTGGCCCCCCTGCAGTGACACTCCTGGTGAGTCCCCTCCTTCGCTATTCATGTCTGTCTGTCCCATATGCAGCCTCCATGGAAAGGAAAGTGAATTACAAATTGCCTCCCCCCTTTTTTTTTTTTTTTTTAAAAGCTCATTTGCCATTGAACTCACCAAGTTATAATGATCTTTTTGATTGCAATTTAAGGTAGGTCTAATGGCTAAAAGAAAAATAACAAAAAAGAGCCCCCTGGGGAGGGGTGCAGAGCTGCACCCTTCAGCAGATACTACAGTGATGTTTTGGCAACAGGGACCAGGGAGAAATCAGTAGTTCACTGCCTGCCTGCTGCTTGCCACAGTCCTCTCTGGGTTGTACATGGCAGGTCTCAGCTTGATAGCTCAGTTTTGAGCTGTTGTGATGGGGATGAGGCTTTGCTGGTCTGAGATTCCAACTCTCTAAGCAGTTTCTGAAGTGAGGAGTCGCAGCAGGTGGAGCGCAGCAGGACAGACATTGCTGCACAGCTGGGATGAGTCACGCACTTAGCACAGCAATTCCTGAAACTGTGTTTCCTCCCGCCTCCAAATAAGCAGGAAGGGATCAAACTAATTTTGATTAATAAGCAGCTCCTCCTCATCTCAAGGGACAGCTTGTTGTCAACTTTTAGCATGCTGTGAACTCACTGTAGAAAAAATCAGGTGCTGGCTAGAACATCTGAAAGCTCGCTGTATCTAACCCCACATTATTACTATTAATACAACCCGTATGAGCACAGCAGTAATGAAACAGCAAAACCCCAGCACGAGGCAGCCACTGTGGCTAGCATGGGGCCTCCTCTGCGCTACTTTGCTCCTCAGACAGTAGGAATCCAGCTTGGCTTTCAGCTGTCCCCGTATTTGCTGTGATGTGCGTAAGGCTGCCTGTGATGAGGGGGCCCAGGTGGATGTACCTTCGCTGCCTGCACCTGGTGCAGTCGGTCACCCCTGTGGCCCCCCGCTGTGCCCACACTGGATGGGGACAGGGATGGTGACAAAGAAAACCCCTTGTGGGGCTGCCTGCCGCCAGAGACTTTGCTGTATTGAAGCACACCTGAGAGAGCAGCGTTTTCCACTTGTTTCAGCAGCCTTGTCCAACATCATTTGTACATGCATGCCTATGACTGGTCTTAATTTCTGTATCTTAGTATTTACAGGCGGTATATCTGATTTATGGGTATCATACAGTTGGTTTCTTTCCATCTGCTTGCATATTTTTACTGGCATAAATTCTCCATCAAGATGTAGCATTAGTATGCTCTGGCTATTTACTCCTTGGTTGTCTGCTCTGAAAAGAAATAAAATAAAAATATTTTTTGAGTTTTGTGCATCACAAATTCAACTAGTATGCACAGGGTACAGGTGGCATTGTTAAAAGCCAGGTACTAAATTTATACTTGTACTTGAAACTCCAGGGACCAGCATAATGCTGGGTGTAGTTCTGTGTCTTGTTAGAAAACCTAAGAACTAAGAGCACATATTTATGACTGGTTTTAGTTCTTCAATCTATTTTTAAACAAATACTCTATGTCTAGACTAAGGTTCTTTTACTGCATAGATCTCATGCTGCCAAACTTGCTCCTAAATAATTCAGAATCATTAAACTTGCTTCAAGAAGATAAAAAATGGAAGAATTCACTCCCAGTCTCTGCTTTCTGAACACAATTAATTTCTAAACAACTGCATTAAATGTTTTTGACCTCATTCCAAAACCCTGCAAATATTTGCTACAAGTGTTCGCTTCAGAACCAAGAGTGGGCAAAGGGATCAAAGGCAGTTTGGGCTGGAGGGTGACACAAATAGAGATGAGGCTGCAAACACACTCGCTATCCCTAAAAGTAGCTGCTTACAGTAAACTGGCTTTGCTGATGAACTTGCTAGCACAGCAACCTTAACGCAGGCTGGGGAGGCAAACTGCACACTGCATCAGTTTGAGCCCCAATGGTACCGGTGAAAGTGTTTTTAATCAGGTGCAGTGAGAGGTTTGGCTCTGTAAGGCAAACTCTCAGTTGCGTGACCCACTTTTGAAGGTGCCGACGTCCAGAGGAAAGGTCTGTGCAAACTGAAGATCCATGGTGGAGCTGATGGGACCCACCTCACGTTGTCTCCAGGCTTCATCCACAGGCACTAGCACAGGCAAGCTGGTGCAGAACGTGTTGAATACCTAGGAGTGTGTGACTCACGTCGAGCCCACCAGCCTCAGCTACCTTTTGTAGTGATAGGCTGATATGAAAAGGAATCTGCAGCAGGAAAACCCAGTATTTTCTTGCTTACCGGGGCATAACGATCTGCTCTGCAGCCCAACAGCAGTAAACATCATGCTTAAACTCACAGATAAGAAAGAGATGTTGAAGACAGAGATTGTCAGTTGCTGGAGAGGATGTAAATATTTTAACACTGTAAACTACCACTGAAGGCAGGTACTTTTCCTTGTTAGTTGCTAGACAGTTTAAGAGACACATTTAATTTATTCTGGAGTATTTTGGAAGACATGGTGCTTTCAGATTACTTTCTTTTTTAATGTGCACAGTGGGGAGTCTACACCTTATTAAAGATGAGATCGCAGTGACTCTAGTGTATCAAAGGATTTAATCAGCAGAGTGCCATAGAGAAGCTAAAGGCCTAATGTAGGCTAAATAGAAGTTTGCAAAATGGAGACAGCTAAATAAAGCAGTGACATCAATTTATGTGTGATGTGTTCATCTCCCAGCCAGACTCATTTCAAAGGGTTGAGATTTTTATTAGAAGAAGAAGGAAAACAGTCATAGTTCAAAGCTGTTTCAAATATGGGTTTTTTTCTCCCCATCTTTCCAGGTTACGGAGCCTCCTTCAAGACTGAGTAAAGATCTGTCTGAAGATGACAATTGCAAATGTAGTTAGTATACAGCAGTAATCTGTTTTTCTTTTTCCCCTCTTTGCCTTCATGAGTTTTCTGCCTCTCTCAAGCCAATGGTGCCATCCCACCATAGCAGTAACACAAAACCTTCTTCCCCTCCCTCTTTCCAAGTTGGGGATTTTGCATTTTGCTATGTATTTGAAGTGGCCAAGCCAGCAGTGTTTTGAATGACCTCACAGAGAATGTTCTCATCACCTGCCATTTTAATAACAAGTTGGCTAGAGGTGGTGAACTGCTCTTTTGTGAAGAGTTTGTTACTTAACAGGTTATTTTTTTAAGTCTCTGCAGTGCGACACACTTCAAGCAGTCTGAAACGCACTGTGTTTTGCTGGCAGCCTTTGCACTTACCCAACTAAAATGGAATATATTGGGGATCTTCAACTGCATCTGGTGGAGAGGGACAAATTTATGCTTTACTAAGACACCCCTCAACACAAATTTACCTGATGTCCCATTGCAGGACAACCACCCTGGCAAGACCAGCCTGGATTACTACAGGAATGACAGCATGGTGCTGTCCCTGTATGGAAACCTGGTAAACGACACAGACTTCCTGTGTGACAAGAGTCAGGTCAGGCAGTTTGCTCGAGCCTTCTTGCCGGTGCTTTTCTGGCTAATCTTCATTGTGGGAACAGTGGGAAATGCCTTGGTTGTGCTCGTCTACTGCAAATACCGCTTCAGGAGGAGCATGATGGATCGGTACCTGCTGCACCTGGCCATTGCAGACCTGATCCTTCTCTTCACCCTCCCTTTCTGGGCCAAGGCTGCCTCTGATGGCTGGATCTTCAAGAACTTCATGTGCAAAGTCATCAACAGTATGTATAAGATCAACTTCTATGGCTGCAGCTTGTTTCTAACCTGCATTAGCTTTGACAGGTACATCACTATTGTCCAGGCGATGAAAACTAAAGCTTCTAAGAAAAGGTGGCTCCTGCACAGCAAACTCATGTGCTTGGCTGTCTGGCTGACATCCGTGAGCCTGTGCATCCCAGAAATCATGTACAGCCAAAGCATGCAGGTGGGGGATGTAACAGTTTGCAAAATTACATACCCACCAAATATCAGCATGAACTTCAGAGTTACTGTCCTGGCCTTCAAAGTCACAATAGGATTCTTCCTCCCGCTTCTTGTCATGGTTATTTGTTATGCCCTTATCATCAATACCCTCCTGCAAGCTAAAAGATCCCAAAAGCAGAAATCACTGAAGATCATCACTGTGATCATCACTGCTTTTGTCCTCTCTCAGTTCCCGTACAATATTGTTTTGCTGGTCAAAACCATCAACACCTATGCCAGGGTGGTGTACAGCTGTCAGGCTGCCAACCAGATGGACATCGGGCTGCAGGTCACCCAGAGCATCGCTTTCCTCCACAGCTGCCTCAACCCCTTCCTCTATGTCTTTGCTGGCGAGAGGTTCAGGATGGCTCTGGGCAGGATGCTGCAGAGCAGTGTCTGCTGCCGGACCGGGGACCGAAAGCAGTGCTCCCCTGCCTGTGACAGCCAGGAGCACAGCTCAAACTGGTCCTTTGCCATGCTGGGCAGGCGGCGAGTGAGGAGCTCCCTGACCCTCAGCACTCACTTGACCTCCTCTGTTATGCCACCCTCTTGCCAAGACCTCTTGTAAGTTAGTCCCACCCCATTCCCCTCTGGAGGAGGACCAGTCTCTTTGGAAACCATCTATAGACCCCAAAGACTGTCCCAGAGGAGTGGGGAGGGCTGGGGGCTCCTTGAGTGCCCTGCCACATGGACTCAACTGGGGCTTGCTGGCTGAAAGGAAGGGGAATCTCTGGCACAGGGTAGCAAAATAAAGCCATACATGGATCCACACTTGTTGTAAGCAGAACTGATAGAGGACAAAAGCTATCTTTGTAGCAGCTGTAAATACCCAACCCATCTGCGGCTCAGACCACAGCCTGAAATAACAAGCCTCGCAGGGAGTCAATAAACCCAGCTATGGCAGCAACAGGCAGGTGAAGCAGGATGAAACACCCATCCTGTGAAGCAGCAGGAGGGGATTCAGCCCTCAGTTGCTGCCCAGCCAGGGTCTCCTGTGGAGGTGGCTGGACCTGGGAACCCTGCCTGCTCCTACACCAGATTGTCTCCCCTGCAAAGCAGAACAGCCTTTACCTCCTACACTGGTTTACTGCAGTAGGCAAATGTGCCTGGGCAGATGCAGCTCTGTTTTGCTGCACAGGTTGTTCTTCTTACAAAGGAAAGCCAATCATTCATATTTATAAAGTGGTCGTTGCAGAATTAGATCTATCTTTCGCATTTATTTTAGCTGTGTGATGTAAGGTGAAATTGGATACAATTTATTTGCTATGGCTTCTATTTTGATACTGGAAACAAATCACACTTCGTAATAAAAATTCAAGGTCATCAGAGCTGCTGAGTTGTATCCCAGGGATATTTGCCATATGGTGCAAAGCTGCTGGAAAGCAGAAGGCAAAAACCAAACTCATGGTTCAACAGAATGATGGCTATGTGCTGATATCTTTGCTAACAGTGAGAAAAAATGTATTTAGTGTGGGGCCAGTAAGACAGAGAGTAATTACGTACCAAACCTAACGTTAATGAAATTTGTATTGAGACTTCAGGTTGGTGAAGGCAGCAGTTTCCAAAAGTGGCATGCTGTAACACACCCTGCAAATTCTATAGGGCTTTTGGCATGCTGGTGTTGGTGCTGTAACAGTGCCCAAGGCTGCAGAGTGCTGAGTGGCCATTCCACCTCACTCGTCCCTTCCTGGTGACATGGAATCGCCTGTCCTGCCCAACTGCAGCTTGAACCTCCCAGTCTTCAACTGCAAGCCATAGTGCTCAGGAGGCTGTATTTTAAATAGTCACATTTAACCTGTTTTGCCTCCTGGTAATTATTTCTTGCAGGAAGAAAAAGTTTTCATTGTGCATTAATAGATAAAGTATGTCAATAAACATGAGCTTTCTGCAAGGTTTGGCGCTGCTTCTCTGGCTAACGGGGTACCTCTGAGCAGATGAGATTCTACTGTTAAATACATTTACCAGGACTTTTAAATACTTTTTTACCTTTTCTTAGGGGAAAAAATTGTGAAAGATGTATGTATTTTTTACTACATGTGTAAGAAGGGTTTGGGTTTTTTTTGTGATTTGTATCAAGCTCAATGCAACTGAAAGCTGAAACTCTGTTAAATAAAGGCAGTGCCACATACAGCAAGGGGATGAACTGGCTGTTTCTTGCCCACACGTCCTTCCCAGGTTTGGATCCATATGCATAACCTGTTTCCACTGACAGGATTTACCCCTCCCAAAGAAGGCCAAAGAAAAACTTTGCTAAAGGGTTTACTTCACATGTCTAACCCTTGGGGTGTGGAAACTGCAGCTGAGGACCCCACAGGCACCGGAGCAGGTTTCAGCTCCCAAGGCGAGGGGGTGGGGTGCAGTTTTGGGAGGGAGAGAGGTTTTTAAGGGTGTGCGAGGAGGCAGCACACCAGGGCAGATGCTTCCTTGCTTCAGATGAGCCCCACCACCCCTTCCCAGGGCTGAGGGTGGTCCCACCCAGAGAGTCCTCCCGGCCCAAAAAAGAGCCCTCAAGTCGTGCAAACAAACAAGCATGCAAACCTTAGCTGCTGCTGACCCGTGATCCTGCTTGGTGGCCTCGAGCTCCTCTTCCCTGCACAGTGTCCCACTGGCCACAGGAACTTGAATTCTGGGGCCTTCTCAACAAAGGTAAAAGCTTCTTTGCTCTACGAAACGTGGTGGGAAATTTTCATGCTTGGTCGATGAGTGAAACTGTCTAGTGTGGTGAAACGGTGATGAACTTTCAGCAGTTTGGGGCAGCAGGGTCATCCCCAGGTCACACACGTCCCACTCTGAGTCAGGCTGTTCTCTGTTGCTTTGCTGGAGGGAGCCTGGGCAGCTCCCCCCAGGGTGTGTTTTCGCTGTGGGGTCTGTTCCACCAGGGCTGCCTGTGGTCCAGCAATGTTTGGTGGCTTCCCAGGCTGCTGGTCCCTCCTGAAATTCCAGGGAAGCTGCTTCCCTGCAGCCCCTCCAGCTGCAGCCTCATCCCTGGTAGGGTCCCTCACTGCTGGCCACCACACAGCAGGGACTTGGTCACGGAGGTGTCTGCTGGTGGCCTCTGCAGCACAGCTCCTGCAGCCAAGCCCTCACGGGGCTCCTCTGTCCCTCTGCCCCGAGGTTTCAGCTGGATTTATCCCACTGAAATTCCTCTTGTACCTCCCTAGGGTAGCCCCCAGCCTTCAGCTGATGCTGTCTCTCTGGAGGGTGGGTTTCCCTGAAGGCGAGCGTATTGCTTCCTGTGGGTCATGGGTCACTGCCTGTGCCTTACCCACAGCTCCAGCAGGACAGTCACTGAGCTGCTGTTGCAAGTCTCAATGAGAAGCTTGAGATCTTACATGGTTCCTGTCTTTAGGTCCCTCTCTAAGGCTGTTTTTTTACCCAGATGTTCCCAGGTTTTGGTTGCAGTTTCCTTTGCTGTCCCTTTTTTCAGGAGTAGCTCAGCTTGTCTCTGTCCGCTGGCCTAACACACCCAAACTATGCAAAGGCTGGGAGCTGTGCCAAGTGGGGACTGCCACGGCAGTAGCTTCAGGTTGTCATCGACTTGCTATGGTGAAGGGCTCGGAGGTAGCCATGACTGCAGTGCAGGCAGTAACACAGCACAGCACCAGCCTGCTTGTGGTACAAGAGGAGGAAGTTGGGAGAGCCGAAACTTTCACTCTCTGCAGGCAAACCTGCCTAACCGATGCCCACTCATGCCTGAAACAGAGAACTGCTTTATAGAAGTGTCTCTTCCAGAGAGCAGAAAAATAATGGAAAGGTGTGAAAGAACAGTGGTTAAACTGCAAGCATCACTGAAGTGATAATAGATAAAGTAGCCCAGGTGTAGTCGTTCCAAAGCCAGAAACATCAATCTGAGTTCAGTATGTGCAAACTCACCACTTCCAGGTATGATCTGGATTGATTATCCATCACTTAACTGACCAGACACTGTAGTCCCAGTGCCTTTGAGTACTGCCTGATTTTTCCAAGCCTCCTGGGCCACATACATTTTTGAACCTTATATTTGGACTTCAAAGCATCCTTGTGTCATTTCAAGGACCAATGGAAAAGATACTACTGTCTTGTGGCAGCTTCACATGGTCCCCACAGCAGAATGTCATACTGGGTGTGCCAAGGCCAATTCTTGGGGCACAGGCCAAGAAACAGGTAGGTTAAGACCCTAGGGTTGGGAGATCCTTGCCCCTAGCACCAAAGAAGGGAGGAGATATTGTCCAGTATGGCCAAACATGGATTACTGGAGATGTACACAAAGGCTTTCAACAGCTACAGCCTCCTCTGCAGAGCTGTTGTACAGCAAGGTATGGTCACTTACACATATAGTGCAGGTCCCTTGTCTGGGGGCTAGGCTTCGCTGGAGACTGTCCTGTCTCTGAGCAGGGAGCACGGGCTGGTGCTGGTGCTGCTGCTGTGGGAGCGTGGGGACAGGAAGCGTCACAGCCTCCACCCCAGCAGGAAACTCCTGTGAGAGAAATAACGAAAAAAGAAGCAACAGCTGGTTGTGATGGAGGCTGTTGTCCTCCTGACCCCATTTGGATAACCCCGGCACCTCAGACGAGCCTATGTGTTTACCATGTACCTCAGAGCTGAGACTACATCTGCAAACTCAAAAGGCAACACATGAAGAGTGCCTGCAACCCACACAGTGCTTCTTGCCCTCCCCCAGCCACAAGAGGTAACCCAGGCGTTCAGAGCCGGCCAGGACCTGTGGAAAACCAGATGGGATCCCTAAGCTGAAGGACAGCGCTGGTCGGTGTCGGGTGTGACAGTGAGTGTAAGTGCTGTCCCTGAGGCTGCTTTGTTTTTACCTCCGAGGGGAAGCACATGCGGGTGAAGGTGCTTCTCAGCCATGGGGCTCTGCTCTTGCTGGAGGAGGCCTGGCCACTCCAAGCCACCAGGACACTGACATTTCCTCTGGCTTAGAGACTGTCTCACTGTGTACTTCTTTAAGAATGTCCGCTGCTGCTCTGTTGGACTGTACAGACACGGCCTTTCTCCACCAGCATGACAAACCATTTTCTGTTTTCCTTGTTCTGTAAAATTTCTTCCTGCTTAGATCATACAATTGTCTGATTTACCTTCCACACAAAGCTATCTCTACAAGGCAGAAAAGTGACACACATTATCAATGATACAGACTTTTATTTTTTTTAATTCCTGAGGTTAAAAAAGGGGAAAAAAAAAAGCATCAAGAAATATTCCAGTATACAACCCTCTACACCTGTGTAACTGTACAGACGCTGTTATACATAAACCTATTTTTCCCCTATCTGCAGCATGAAATTTGATGTGAACGGGGTCTGCAATTCTTTGGCAGTTAAGACCAAAAGATGCTTCTGAACAAGTTACAATCTCAGAGATCGAGCATAGTTAAAACTATAGTGCAATTTCAATTTTAAAAGATGAGCAAAGTCAGGCTTTTGGAGCTTTGCTATTTTGCAACGTGGTACACTCTTGTGCAATACATCTCAGTGATTTTTCATAAAGCAACATTGAGAAACGTTGAGTAAAGCAACACTGTCATTTTCTTAAAGCAACTATGTTCTTTCCTATGTATAAATCACTGTATAACAAAAAATATTACCCTCCATTGTTTCAACACCTAGAAAAAACATCCAATTGCTTATACTGATCACAATGTATACTCTCTTTGTCCCATGAGTGTGATATCCTCTTAAATTAATTTCAGAACGATTTTAAATATTTGTTTTCCCTTAACTGCATTGCTGTGGATAATAAAAGGCTGAACTCAAGAAATCACCTGACTGCCTGTAAATAAACTGATTTATCAGTGTCCCTGGCACAGCTCACATGAACAAGAGCTTTATGAATGGCAGCAAAAGGTGCTTGAATGAAAGTACTCTTGTACAAACCTACACTTGAGCTAAGTCCTGGGTTTCCATGGATCCAGCAATAAACCGTCTGGGACATTCAAGCAAAGGTTATTTACTGTCTTCTCTGCACAGCCTCTGAGGTGTAAAACATTCCCTTTTAAGTGACATGATGGTATTTGTGTTCTTGAACAATTCCTGTCTACTTGTTGTACCTCACCAGTTTGAGCATATTCTCTTCTGAACACTCTCCTCTCCTCTCTTCTCAAACACTCTCCTTGGTTAGAAGCAAACCTTTTATTTTCTACAGGTTCTGGCTCTCACACTCAGTTCTCTTTCAGAGAGAAAACCAGCAATAAAACTACTGTCATGGGGCAGGAAAACCTGAAGAAAAGGTACCACAAAGACACAAATGTTAAATAAAAACAATCCAGTGTTTTTCTTGCAGTCCTCCCAAACATATGCTTCAGCCAGCCTCAGGACTGTCTATGTGAAAGACTGGAAGGGAAACTTCTGGCTTACTAGATGGAGCCAATTACTTTAAGAGTTATACAAACAGTGGCTTAAAAATATTTGCCACAGGATGAAAAAAAACCTGGGATGCAGAGAGGAAATCCAGAAGCAAGTCTTTTCAAATAACACTGAAGGGAGATATTTCAAACACTTCTGAGCAGAACTGTCGTATTTTGGCCTAAGATGCTTGACAGTGTCCCTTTACCTTACATTTGGCATTTTAAGAAAGATACTCTAATAAGATTAGTATTCTAACTAAAACAACAGCAAAATGCTTTTAAAAACCACACCTAAAAGCTTAAAGGAAAACTGCAGCAGACTTCAGTAACAGCTCAGTGAAACTGGATAGCATATGGTACACAGTACTCCATTTTTAAGGAATAAATAAACTTTTCTTACCTAACTAAATATAAAACATAGCTTCAACACTGAAATATGCTATAATTCATGAACTGATCTGTGTGCTGTTTATTGCCTGTTTATTGCCCACTTCAGCCTCTTGTCCATCTCATTTTCACACAGCCAGGTAAGGGTTTAACAGCATCGCAGCCTGTTCCCTCGGGAGGGGAAGTAAACCGGCTCGCACCTTCCACTGACCCCTCTGCCTGACAGCAGCTGGGGAGCACACCACCAATACTGGGAAGACGCATCTGAAGGGAAGGGGAAAGCTACCACTGAGCCA